CATGGGCAGAGTGCAGTTTCACTAGTACTAGGAGAAAAGCAAGTAAACTGGTGTAGCGGTGCCATTTGTCACCCACTGATATGGACATAAGTTCACGAGGTTTGAGAACTCACGGGGCGTGGGTGGCTGTGGGGCAGGACTGCTTGTACGCCGCTGGGAGTGTAAACTGGTCCATCCCCACAGCGTGCAATATGGAAATATCTTCCCAGATTGACCCAAGGACAAGCCACAGGCCAAACCTCTGTCAGTAACAGCAAAGATGGGAAGGAGGGCGTGAGGAGGGACGGCTGAGTCACTAGGGACTCATGACCGCAGACACCGGGTGCCGACACCACCCCGGTCATTGGTGAGTTACAGAAACGAGCCAAGTCCACTGCCCTTGAGGGAGAGCGGTGGATGGCTTGTGCCCCGTGTTCACAAACGCACGGAAAGGGGACAGCAGGCCCTGGGATGCAGTGCTATGGGCCGGGGCTGGGCCTACAATAGAGTCTGTTCCCAGTGTTCATGCAACGCTGGCAGAGACACCTTCTAGTCCTATGGAGGAAGCCCTGTGGCTGCTGGTGGAGGGTGGACTCTAGGGGAGGCAGGCGGCGGCAGCCGTCCAGGTGGGCGATTGGGGCTCTGACAGCAGAGGTGGACTCCTGCTGGGACCTCGGTACACCAGGTCTGAGGCCAGAGGGTCGGGGACACCGACTGGGCTGATGCAGTCTTGCCAGGGCCACTGGGCAAGGTGGCCGGGGCTTGGTGCCATGACTCAGGCTGGCCTGAACGCCACGTGCCAAGGGGAGGAGCCTGCAGGCAGCCGGGGAGCCAGGAGCGGTGCTGGTCACAGGGCCTGAGGTCCTCCTTGGGGCACCGGGCGCTGGCCCAGCACTCCAGATGGCTTTCTTCACACAGGAGCGCTGGCCACCGGGGGCGGAAAGCCCGGAAGAGCTGTGCAGCTGGCCCTCGTCTCAGTTCTTCTCCCTGACGTTGTTTTTACTGGAAGATCGATTCTGCAAACCCAGCTGGGCCCCGGCTGAGAGCAGCTGGGGCGCAGCAGCAAGCGCCTCGACGCCCCCTTCCTGCCTCCTCTGCGCCTGCCTGCCTGCCTGCCCTGTCCCCCATCTTCCTGCCCAGGGCTCAGCCGGTGCCCACTGCGTCCCCACGGCCCTGAGCCCCAGAGCAGCGCCCAGATAGAGGGCTAAGGTCCATGGCTCTGGGCTCCTCAAACGACCAAAACGGGGGCAGCCTGATGGAGGGAGGGTGGCAGGGCGCCCGGGCCTCCACTGGGCCTGTGGCCTGACCCTGCCCCACGGCTCCACGGCCCCAGCCCCTCCCCGCCTCAGTTCTGCCCGACCCTGGGGACTGCCTCCTCAGCCCTGCACAGGGCTCACGTTTTGTTCTGGAGGATACCGGGCCGTGAGCCAAGCCGGGCCCGCCCAGGCCCTCCTCGGTCGCCTCCGCCCATGTGCCCACGAAGAACGGCTCGGCTCTCCTGCCCCATGACCTCTACCGGCTCGCCTGCCGAGGTTGCTCCCGGGGTCACTCCTCAGGCTTACCTGCACACACACAGCATGAGTGCATGCACATACTTGCAATCTCATGTGCCAAACAGCTCTGTGCGGGCTCTCTCTGCCTTTGAACCCCCATCTCTGTTGTCACTCTGTTGTTATGCCTGCTTTTTGACATGCCCCAAAGTCTCGTAATCCCAAGTTCACAGACCTCTGTCGTATGAACTTGGGGATGAGACTGTTGACTTCGCTGACAGTAAACAGCTGGGACTTGGGGACCGCCAGGAGGCTCCATGTCGATGTGGGGAGGACATGCACTTCCCAGCTTAGCCCAGATCTGTGGTCATTCCAGACGTGTGTCCTCCGTGGAGGCCGGCGCCCTTGGCTGCTTCTCAGGCCACCTCTCCAGCTTGCTGCCAGGCAGCTGGTGCCAGGCACCTCCAGCCAGTGGTCGCTCTGTATGTCGACACAACAAAGGACAGCGGGAGGGCGCCGGAGGTCCCGGCAGAGGCGTGTTGTCGGGCGATGGCTGTTTGATACCAGCTGGCCCACCCCTCCTTCAGGGGGTTGCCCAGACACATTTGCAAGCGGCCGGCAGGACTGCTCACTTGCTCAGTCAGTCATTCAGCAAACGCGCCAGCACCGGGCAGTCAGTCAGCAGAGACAGACTGCCTGCCCGCAGCTCAACGTTTCTGTGAAGGGAGCTAGACCAAAAAAAGGTGGTCAAATTAAGATACAAAGTATGGTTTCAGCTCTGACATGTGAAGAGCTTAGAAGTTGTCACTTCTATCCTTACAAGAAAAAAGCTGAGAAACTGAAAAATCAACTTCTCTTGGACCTACCACAGACCTGAGGTCACAGGGCAAACCACCACCCTCAAATCTGGAGGGACGGGTGACGACAGTCCCAGCGGCATCAGCTCACTGGAGCAGAAGCACCTGGAGCCGTGACTGGTAGGCGACTTGAAGGTGACTGGATATGTGCTGTAGGCTGAGTGCACTAGTGACAGTGACAAGCTCCGGGGAAGAGCACGCCCAGGGCACTAGACGCTGCGCCCTGACGCAGGAGCTCTGTCCAGAGGAAGCCGGGTAGCGTGTGCGCCTGTAGGGCCTCGCCCTCTCCTGACACCTGTGTGAGGCTGCGCGTGCACCTGTGCTTGGCTCTTTTTCATGGCTGTAGAGTATTTCACTGTAAAAACCCCAACGGACGTCAATTCTAGTGTTGATGGACAGGACGATTCCAGCTTTTGGTCCTTATGATGAAAGTCGCTGGAAACATGCCTGTACACGTGTGGTCACTGTCAGTGCCGTTGGGAGTGTACCCAGGAGAGGAAACACTGGGGTTGGCTGTGTAGGTGGGCTCCTGGGAAACGGGCATTTCCCAAAAGGGCGATCTCAGCAGCACCCTCCAAGGCACTGAAGGAGCATCAGAGCCGGGACGGCCCTTCCGAACTGCGCTCAGCTGAGTCCACGGGGCCAGGTCCTCGTGCCACAGTGTCAGCTCACTGCTGGGTACTGGCTTCCCAGGAGAGGCAGCTCTCCTTGGCTGAGGACAATGCCCAGAGGACCCAGCTGTGAGCTGCCAGCACCCGACACTTCAAGTGGCTGGTCCCACGGGGAGATGTGGCATCACATACGGTCCCCACGGCGGGCCAGCCTTCGCATGTCTTGGAGCCGCATTGCAGAGGGAGTTGGCCCATCTGGGAAGCTCCCATAGATGATCCTGGGCCTTTTCTCCCTAAAAGGAATCACCTAATGCGATCTCACAGAATGAGTGGGAGGTGCACCCTCCTTTGTCCTCTGGAAGTTCATGTAAAATTACTTATTTAAATATTTGTGAAGACCAACCACTGAAGCCGTCTAGAATTGTGATTTTCTTTGAAAAAGTGTTTAAGTTCGATTTCTTTAGCGCTATTAAGCTATTCAGATCTTTCACGTTTTGTGTCAGTTTGGACCGGTGCTTTTTTTTTCAATGCTTCTAATTTGTCACCATAAAGTTGTTCACTGTCTCCTGTCATTTCAGTGACCGCGGGAGCTGCAGTGATTATCCTTGTTGCTCCTGCTAATGGTTGTACTTGTCTGATTTTCTTTATCTGGCAGAGTTGTTCAATTTTACTAACTTTTTCAAAGAACCAGCTATTGAATTTGTTGGTCCTCTCTCCTATGTTTCTTTTCTGCTTGATTAATTCCAATCTTATGTATCTTGTTTCTGTCCATGATTTTAAATTTTATTTTGTCATTCCTTTCCTGGTTGCTTCAGATACATACAAATTTATCCTATTTTCAGCCTTTATTCTTTTCTAATATTTGTACCTCAGTCTTTCCGTTTTCTTCTAAGTTAATCACTTTAGCTATTTTCCAGTTTTATATGTTGTATCTTTACTGTCATTCAGGGTTCCTGAAGGGGAAAATGGAGAATAAACGGGAAACCAGTGAAGACAGAAGACTGAATACAGAATAAGGAACTTTCCAAAACTTAGTAACTAAGACACGAATTCCCCAACTCCCGAAGTGCAGTGAGTCCTGGAATAACGAGAACCGACCCACCTGCAGAGAGGAGCTCGGTGAGAGGGCTCTGAGGGCGGCGGCGGCGGCAGGGAGCGACTGCACAGCTCGCAAGGACAGGCTGAGACGACAGAAGGACGTGTGTGGAGTGGGCACAGAATGAGGACTGTTCTCCCTAAGTTTCCCACAAGTAGGTGTCTGTGGAGTGTTTCCACCAGCAGAACCGTGCTGGAAAGGCCACTCCAGGGTGTAAGCACGGACTGAGGGGGCAGAGGCGTGGAACCTCAGAGGTGGCTTGGGGCTGTGAGCGGGGCGCAGGCCTGCGGGGCTGCGCCGCCGTGTGCCCAGGGCCTCCGTCCAGTAGATGGACGCGCAGGCACAGCCTCGAGCCAAGGCCACGCGGGAGCACACGGGGCGGGCGCACAGTCACGTGCACAGGGGCGGGGCGCGGCCACGTGCACAGGGGTGGGCGCAGTCACGTGCACAGGGGCGGGGCGCGGCCACGTGCACAGGGGCGGGCACAGTCACGTGCACAGGGGCGGGGCGCGGCCACGTGCACAGGGCTTGCCGGCGGGCACCGA